CTCCAATCTCATGGGACCGGAAACTGCATACGCGCTGCGGTTAACGGCGCAATGAGATTGCGGTATATTAGCGATACCGGGTGAGAGAACGGTCCATGTGCGCGAAAACGAACAAAATACATATCCGTCCGCTCCGTCCTTGTCAGGTGTATACATTTTTTTTCTGGTTTTTCGCATATTATATAGTTTTCAGAAACAGCTGTTTGTATACCTACGTGTCTGTATCCTGAGAGCACGTAAATCAAAAAGCGGCCGGATGCATCAATCGCAAAAAAGGCACCGGAATAACAAGATCCATAATAAGGGAAGCATGCTCTAATGCATTATAATTATAATTGTGGAGTGATATAACCGGAGATTTACGCGCAGTATCTTGTAATATCAATTTTCCATAATAATATCATTATATATAATGTAAAAAAAAATAATTATTAGATAACGCAGTAATCATGATTATGTATAATATCGCAAAAATTCATTCTTTGTAAAAAAATGAAAGGAGAGGGAAGAGAGAGAGAAAAGGAAGAGGAAAGAAAAATTTTTAATTTATTTTATATCATTTTTATTGCAATGTAAAATTGCAATGTTTGCAGATATTAAAATTATACTGTTAAATACGGAATAATATAGGGCAATATTTTTTAGCATTTATTAGTATGTGACTTTATTTAAGTGAGTTTATTTAATGCAGCAGCGTCAGGATGTTGGATAACAATGCGACATACAATGCGGAACTACGTATAAAATGTTCGCTAACAGAATGACCTGAACAGTTTCTTTTTCGAAAACTAAAATAATAATCTGTCAAAGCTGCATTAAACATTTATTTAATTTTTAAATACTTATTTTTGGTTAAACCAAATTTTTAGTCATGTTTTTAGTTGTGATTCTCTCTGAATTTTATTAAAAAATAAATTCAAATATAATATATAAAATTACTATGTTTTTTCCTAACGCTCAATTTCTCAAAACTTTGTATTATTAATCATTCATATTTCTATATTTTTTCATTAATAATAAACTTTATGTTCGCATTAATAAATAATATTTTAATTTCCATAACAAGTGCTTTACTCATCGAGTCACATTTTTAACCCAAGTGTAACACTATAAATATGACGTATAAATGAACATAGTCTACATTCTCTAACAAGATGCTAATTTAAATGCAATGTTAAAAGAAGTGTCACTAAAAATAGCCGTATATCACAAAGCGTTAATGAATGTTAACAAAACAATTCTCATCTAATTCCCACTTAAATTAACATTTTATCAAACACCTGCTTTATTTATGTTAATAAAAAGCCTTGTGGTCGACCACAAAAATGATCCAAGAAATTTTTTGTATAAAACACACATGATTTTGACATTCGACAAAATAAATGCTCTTATGTATTATGGATTTGTTTCTACGAATAGTGATTCATGAATTTGCCTTGTTCGATTTTCAACGGTATAAATTGCCATTAATCGATCGCTTGTATTATGCGAAGAGTTGCGCAATAAATATCTGATCTCTCACTATCTCGATTTCTTCACTCTTACTCATCAAATATAAATCTAAAAATATTAACACGCGCGCATCTTGCTCGATCTCGATTGGATAAATGTCTAACTGGTTCTTACCCGTTAACTTTAGTCCTGTTGCGTGAAACAATTCTTACGCAATTCTCCATTCCGGTTTTTTTAATAATGTCCTCGTTAAAATAATTTTTGTTCGTGTTAAGGACAAAAATGTTTTGTTAAAAATATTTTATGAGTTACTGCTTATTAAACTATTTAAAAATATTTTATGAATTATTGTTTATTAAACTAGAAATAAATGTTATACAATTATCACATTTTCTTTTCTGTTCATCATTCTCTTCCTACATAAAATCTTTAATTGTTTTTTTTTATTTGATATCGTTAATTATCATTAATTAGCAGAATAACGCTAAAAATTGTCATCAAAAAAATTGTCAAATTTTTCATATAGAATCTAATAATATTTCTTATATACAAATTGACTTTCTTCTAATAAATTTAAATTGAGGATATAATTTATTATTATACGTGCACGTATACTTTAAATAAAAAGTCTTTTAATAAAAAAATCCTTCTTTTCTCCCCAAGTTTAGAATTTCAAAGTTTAATCAAGTTTGAAAGTTATATTCAAAAAAATCGATATCTCCCCTTTATATATGATTACACTCTGTCTTCTACCTTCAAGTAGGAACCAAACAAGGCTGACATGATAAACCTTGTATCTTCTTTTCATCTTTTTCCTTAGGAATAAAAGAGTCTAAAGAAAAAGAATACTTTCATACATAAATTCAGGTAAATATAATTATATAAGACAAGGTAAATTCTTTATATATTTTAAATATTCTATAAACAAAGTTAATCAACTATAAATAAAACTATATATAATATATGTTATTAAATAAAATTCTGACGAAATTAAATTCCATTCGAAATTAGATCTCAATTTAAATTTATATAAGATTTTATTATCTACATATCTTTGAAATTATTTTATAGTTGATATCTCATAAATTACATCATTTTTTAAATTAATGTTTAAGAGATGTTTAACATTACGATAATTTAAGATTTTTATATACCTATATAATATTTTTCGTTTAAAAAAATGTCTTCCATATAAAAATATATAAAAAATGTGACAAGCGAATACGAGAGATATGAGAGATCATGCGTATTAAGAGATCGATACTAATATGCTGAATCATTCGGTAATATTAATCTTAACGACTCTTGATAGATTCTAAATGCTTACTTGACTTTTGCCAGTTCTGTTTTCGACAAAATCAATAACAGATCAACATTAAGATTAATCGACGCTGATCAAGCCAAATTAAGAGCCCATTTGTGAATCGTAACGTCTGGATGTAACATAAAACGAATCCTATTTACAGAATTAAAATGCTATACTTCAATGACTTTATTATTCGTGACAAACTCTTTATAAAGAAATTTTACGATTCAAGTTACATACAAAAATATCTTTTCATGATATTTATTATAAAGCAGAAAATTATATAATAATATTTCATTTTATTAAAATTTTAAATTATGAATTTATTCTGTTATTTGCTAACAATTGTATTTATTAAATGCAATAAATATTTATCATGCATAAAAATATTTCAATAATTGCAGTATTTCTTTGCAAAATATAATACGTATATAATTATTGAATAAAAATATCGTGATTTAAAAAAATTTTTTTATTTATTTGATTTTATTTTGTGATATTCCACGATTAAATTAAAAATTATAAGTAAAAAAATATATTTACAATAAAATTATAAATTATACGAATGAAGAACTCAAGCCAATTGTCGTTTCAGTCACATTTATAAGTGGAATCACGTTTAAAATGAGATTACTCTCGTGTATAATAGAAATCTGAATTTGGCACAACCGATTTCAATTCTTCGTATGTTACGAACATCCTTATCAGTGTTAGGGCAATATATCGATCGTTCGCTGTCTCGTACCGGACTGTAACATCCGTGAGACACTATACACAATGCGGCATGGACGCGTTCCACGATCTACTCTAGTATATATTTCTCCTCGTATACAGGCGCGATAAAATGGTACTTCCGTTTTCCTATACCGAGAGATCGACTCTTCCATTTTCCTATATTGACCTGTAGACCAGGCCGGGATCGAACAAGCCGACATATCGTTGTCAAAATTACGGTCACCGGCGCATGCCGACTATCTTGTTTCTCTCAATTGATTATATGTGTATAATGTAGTAATTATATATAATGTAATAATTATATTATTAATTATAATAATTATATAATAATTATACAGTATATGTATAATAATTATAATAAAAATATATATAATAATTATACAATATATATAATAATTATATAAAAAATATATAATTATATAATAAATATATACATATATATTATATAATTATATAATTATATAATAAAATAATTCTGTGTAAAATATTTAAAAGATCCACTCATGTTCTCTATATTTATTGGTATTAGATGTATATATTTATGTTTGAAATGCAGTTGCATTCGATGCCCATCATCGATTATGAGTTAAAAAAAAATCATGTCTAGAGAAATTCGTGTTTGCTCCATATTAAATTTCGGATTTAACTTTTGCATCCCGAGATTCAAATATAACACATTCGTCATCGCGTTTAGTGTCGTTGAATAGTTTAGTTGAAATTCGACGAAGTTACATTTAAGCATGTCGTACTTGGCGATTTTTGAATATATCATGATTGTGCGAAACCGGCTTTTAACATATAATGTGTGACAATCGCGAATTCAGCTCCAATTATCGGTTAGGAATAAATATAGAAACATCTGTACCCGCGAATTTAAACGTCAAACGCGCCGTGAAACTATCAGATGTTACTCGCGATACGTGTTTGCATTCGATATTATTATCACTTGAAAATCACATAATTAGGCCAATTACAGACTTAATCACAGTCTGCAATTCAACTGTCGGATGATCGTGAGATTTTATTCGCGATACGCAATACGTGTTTCCGTGTTCAATGTCATCATCGTTCAAAGATCTACACGGTCGACATTAAAAAATCCTTATTCATAAAACACACTTCCCGACATTCGCGCTTGTGATTATTATTATCGACTAAGAATTATGCCCTTGGAATTTATTTGCAATTATCTATTTATTTTAATTCAATTTCAAACGAGCTCTCTCTTTCTCGCATTTGTTTCTAAGCACAATATTTTTGGTTTCAAATTTTAATTTTTTCCATTTACTTATTTAATTAAATCTATATGTAGAAGCCGAAAGGGTTCATTCCGCCCCTCGGATTCAAGAGAAAAACCGAGGGAGGACGAGACGCAGCGGGACGAAAATGCAAGAATGAGAGCGGAATAGGGAGGACGAGCGAAGCGTGCGAATGGTCGACGAATCGATCGATAGGACATCGCACGCGGCGTTATTTCTTGCGCGTTTCATAATTATGCGTTACTTACAGCGCTCGGCTCGCCCGGCACGAGCTCCGTTCCGGGCGCAGCTTCCGGGGAGGCTCTGTTTCCGGTGGGGCGGATCGACGACGGATTGTCGTCGTCCAGCGCGCGGCAAGAAGGTGCCGATGACAGGGAACGTCGTATCGGCCACATGCAGCATTAGCATCACCACCACCCGCTACCCGTCCACCACCCACCACCCGTCAACCACCACCACTGTTACTCGTCAAGATTTACTCTCGGTGACAACACGAGAACACCCGCTCACTCGCGGCACGCGAGTCGCACGACGCACTCCCGTAAATCGACCTTCAACGACTAACGCTCGTCTCATGTATTCGCGCGGAGTGGGGATGGCGAGGAGGTGGGGGATTTTGGTGGGGGGGCGCTCGTTCCGCTGGGCGCTAGGGTCTCTAGTAAAGTCACTAGATTAACAAAGTACCGCAATTTTGATCTCAATAAGATAAGATGGAGGAACTTTGTTAATCTAGTGACTTTAAGATCGCCTAAAAGCAGCCTATGACAAAAAAGAGTGAAAACTACGAACAACTTTGTGTTTATTTTATAAATTTTAGAAATGGCTTGTCGTATGCTACATATTTAGAGTTGTAAATAATTTGATAAAAAATGTTCAATCTGTAAACAATGGTAACGCAAATGAAATATATCATTGTCTCTAAATCATTATATGTAATTAACATATAATGTGTATTTAAAATTAATTTATCAATTTAACTCTAATAAAATTATGAAATTTTTTTCAGGTATATTATTGTTTAATATTGTTTAATTTATTGCTTGTCAGTCATTCACATTTATTAAAAATAGTCACTTTATTAAATAATGTGAGAAACTCTATATTTTTTGCGAATAGTAAGTAGAACTTTTATGGATATAGCATTTTGATAATAGTTTATATTTACAGTAGAAAATAATTTGTATTTCACTGTGCTTTTGTTCTATAGGACCTGAAGATGAATTATGAAAGGGTGTGACAAGTATCAGTAATGCAGAAAGATGCAGAGATAGAGCAAGAAGAGTAGTGAAAAGAGAGAGTTCCTAAATAAGGAGCAAATTATTGACATGGGAAAAATTACGATACAATTTCCTGGTCTAAATACTCCTGTGTTTAGAGGAAAAGAATTAATTCAACAGCAAAAACTGCTTGTAAATTTTGAAAGAAAGCAAAAACTTATGGAATTACCACAAAGTCAGACCAGACGAATGCAAATAAAATTTTCGCCATTGGAATGTGGTTGGACGAGTGTTACAATGGATGGCAGAAGCATTGAATCAGATCTTATTGGAAAAGGTTAATATTTATGCTATTATTGGATTATAATGGTTAAATCACACACATACAAAAATCATGTGATACGATGTCTATTTTCAATTTTTTTTTTGATGTTTCAGTTCTAAATATTAGAATCTTATATAATTAATATCTTTGTTTTCTGCAGATACATTTGAAAGTTTTGAAACCTGGATTTTGGAAAATAAAATGATAACTTGTATGACCGGTAAGACACGGTTTAGCACGTAAGACTAAAATCAGTTCATTTATAGTAACTGGAAATGGAAATGGATTAGCTGGATTTGTTATCAAAAGTCAAAGCATCCCTAAAGACGGTTAAAAATAGGGCTGGTCAAAGACTAATGTATATTCCTACATATAAGGAATACACTGGTAAGAAAATAATTGTCAATACTATATAATATAAAATTTATTTCTTCTCTTTTAATATCACTTTATATTTTTCAGTGTTACATGATTTCTTTACACAGTTTGAGAATATAAAAATTTGTAAAGAAAATTCATGAAGGATAATGGACTTGTTTGTCATCATGTGATAAAAGCGTGTTGCGAGATAATTGGCATAAAGGTATGCCAAAGTACAAGGAGGAATGTAAAAGCATTCTTTATTGGTTTATTGCAACAGGTATGTATATAAAGTATTTAAAGGCATATTATACTTTTTATTTAATTTATATTAGAAAGAAACATTTTTGATTTATAAAAATATATATACATATATATATATATATATATATATATATATATATATATATATATATGTATATATATTTTTATAAATCAAAAATGTTTCTTTCTAATATAAATTAAATAAAAAGTATAATATGCCTTTAAATACTTTATATACATACCTGTTGCATATATATATATATATATATATATATATATATATATATATATGTTAGACATAAAGCTAAAAAAAAACGTGGATTGTGTCGATTAATTAATTAATTGTTTTATTTAATTATCAATTTACATATGTATTTATATATGTATATTATTAACAATAATTTTTTGTTTACTTAAACTGTATAAGGTTATACATAAGAAACAATCTTTTTTATTTAGTATTTCAAGCATATTTTCATAGAACTTTAATTTAATTATTATATTATTAAAAATATTGAACAAAATAAAGAATTAAAGCTGGCTTTCTCTGCAGTCTCATGGCAGATTATATCAGAAATCATACTTTAATTATTGCAATATATCATGAAACAAATCAATCTCAAAATAATGGAAATATTTGCAGAAATATCAAATATGTAATATTTGATTAATATAATTATAATATAAAAGAGAAGAAATAAATATTTGATTAATGTCAATATTTTAATTTTTTTGTATGCGATCTATTTTTTATTCTATCGATGTTTTCATAGTGATGCACCTTGAGCACTTTGCTTCATATGTTTGTAATAAAAATATATTAAAGCAAATTATTTTGCAAATTTATTATTCTAATTTTTATTTAGAAAGACTCAGATTAAAAAAGACGTATGCATTTTTTTCAGATATTTCTATTGAAAAAAACGCATCAGATAAAACTTTCCTGTACATTTTAAATGTGCCAAAAGATTTGATCTTTATTCCACTTACTGCAATAATGTACACTAAAAATGACAGATCTATATTAAAAATGATAGATTAGTAGTATATTTAGTAGTTGGAAAGAAAGAGAACGGAAATGAAAAGTGCATCTAGAGAATTTAAAAGAATAAAAAACAAATTTAAAAATAATACATAAAGATTAATATTATGTATTTTTTTCATGAGGAATGTGGGGCGCACATTTATGCATTTATTTATTTAGATGAGATTTACTTTAGAGCACATTCAGTATTCAACTTTAATTTTATTTTCTCTTTCTTATGATATATAAGTATAACATAATTACCTGCAAATGCTATCATTTTTGTGTGCTTACAGTGATACAGAAGCAACATTACAAGTACTATATTTACAGATAACATCTGTATAATAAAAAAAAGCACCAAAAATCTAATGATGAAAAAAGGATAAATATTGTAGACCAGCATAAGTATCAACCAATTATTCCACCGCTCTGTTTCATTAGAATTGCAATTTTCTTTTATATCATAAATATTATAAATAAGATAAAGATTTCTGTACGTTTCAAATAAATTTATATATTTTATGTATGTAATACTGCGCACACATATTAAAAAGTGATAATATCGCAGTTATAATAAGATATGATCCTGGCAATGTAGTGATTTTTGGATCCTACTTAAAATAATTTAATTTGATTTATTTTTGAGAAATGCGCACAATACTTGAGAACAAATTATTTTTGTGCCATGTATTACCTGTGTAAAATTCCACACACAATATCATATTGTCTGCGGTATATGAAAAGCTTCATCGATGAAATAATGTGATAATACAATTGAGATATAAGAAAAATAATATAGTACTTGTAATGAATAACGTTAATGTGGAATACATAAATATTTTATATTTTAATTTCATGTAATCGAGATGAGATAAGACACTCATGATTACTTTAAAAATGTGTCCACAAATATCATGTAACTTCAATAGCTGCACATTCGTCAAATTAATCCTGTTATGTTAAATGAATCACAGCAGCTTGTTTTAATTTAATCTAACCTAATCAATTATATTATATGCTCCTCATTAAAATGTGTAAAACTGTACGTCGCACATTTAATACGATTAATATACTACGTAATAAAATGTAATACACTAATGAAATAATTAAATATTATTTTTGAAAGCATGATAAAATCCAGGAAGCATACGCTTGTGTTTACATTCGATATCCAAAGACACTGAGAGGTTAAGTTAGGTTAGGTTAGGTTAGGTTAGATCAAACAAATTTATCGTTTAACAGTTGGCAGCTCTATGAGATAGGCTGTGCAGCACTGCGCGCGCGTATACAAAATAAATTTGAAATCGCTTCTAGCATAACCGTCTTCACGCGATCGACTTTATTTGAATTGTACCGAATCGAATTATGATGCCGATTTGTCCGAATGTAATTCGGGACATCGCGATGCTGTATAAGCGTCGAATGAGCACAAATTATCACGCAAATATGATAAATCAAATCTACTCACCGGCTGTTCCACAGGCCGCTCCTCCTCGGGACAGTTCGCTCGCCTCGACGTCCTATTCCGATCTTGATGCACATTTGGACGTCCTATTCCGATCTTGATGCACACAAATCCACACGATATCATCAACGCGAACGCGCGACACTTTATTCGGCACTCCCGATATTCGCTCGCATCCGATAATCATCATCAAGGGAGCGAATAACGCGACGCAACTTCGCTCCATCTTCGCAATGACGCCATCACTGAATATCGTCAAAAATCGCTGTCGCGCGTTTCCATCGACACACTATCAAAGTCGCGCGATCATCCTTCGACGCTCTCGACGCTCGTTCACTCGCGATATTCGTTTAAAAACGGTTAAAAGATGCGAAAAATGCGGACGTACGACGATCCGTGTAACTGCGTATGACTTCGATCACGCACTAACATGGCGGCCGTATGACGCGTTTGACGTAGCAGTGACGTAGCAGTGACGAAGCAGCACGCGCCAACATGGCGGCCGAACCAGTGCGCATTCATTTCTGCGCATGGCCATTCCTGCGCGCAACTTTGATTTCTGAATATTGTCTACGGCTTTAATTAATAGCACATAATGATAAATATATAAAGATGGAATCAATTATTCATATTGATCCTATATATAGACTTGCCTGAAGAAAGAGAGAAAAAATTGAGAGATATTTTTAATTTTGTTTTTTTAGTAAAAAATGGAAATGTCTATTCATAAGCTTGTTCTTCTTTTCCTCTTTTGTGCAATTTCGATTCAATATATAACGTAGAAAATTCATAGTATATTGCATTTATTTTTATATATTCACAACTATAATATTCATCGATCATTTTTTGACATTTACAATACTCGTATACCTTGTTCTCGATGTTCACTTTTAAAAAAATAAAGAGAATTATATATAAATGTAAATAAATTGTCCGAAGAGAGAAAAAATTGAGGGATATTTTTAGTTTTTTTAGTAAAGGTTGAAA